TTCCCTAGATAATCATACCAAGGTCTACTGTTTAACGCTACATCTAAACATTTTTACACCGAACTATTTGGCGGATAATCGATTCGGAATCGCTTAGAAGTCTTGGTACAAACGTTGAATACTCACAGATAACCACACGATCGGCAGAGGTCAGTGTTATTCCAACGCCACCGACCTGCAGAAAAGGAGCAATTGAAATATTTCAAATATTTTAGGTTATAAATAAAAGTTGATCAATAGAAGTTTAAAAAGCAGACCTTTAAAGCGTTAGTACATTTGACCCCGACGAAGCTTTGCGACCCAAAATGGAAAATTGTGTCCAAATTCGGATTCTAGCATCCAAAATCGAACACTGGAGTCTAAAATGATCAGACACTAGTGTCCATAATTGCATACTTATGTCCAAAATAAGACGCTAACATCTAAAATCGGACACTAGTGTCTAAATCGGACACTAATATCTAAACTTAGACACTAGAGTCTAAAAGCGGACACTATTGTCCAAAATCGGAGGCCATTCTTCAAAATCGGGCACCAGTGTCCAGAATTAGACACTTTTATCTAAAATGTTTCTAAAATCGGACACAAGTGCTTGAAATCTGACACTAGCGTCTAAAATGGGATATTTGTGTCTAAAATCGGACACTAGTATTTTAAATCGGAAAGTAGTGTTTAAAATTGACCAAAAGTGTCCAAAAATGGACACAAGTATCCGGGATTGGTTCCTCCATCCGAAAACTGATGCAGGTATCTGAAATCTGAGCATACTCCACAGACCTGTGTTGTGAGAAGGAAGCATGTGTAAGACGGATCAGTCTGGAATGTGTTGATAAGATGCTGCCGTTCAGCTGTACTTGTTATCGTGCCGTCGATACGAATAACCTTGTGTCCCTGAGGATAAAATACCTCAATGTTTGTAACAGTTTGTAACTGGGATCACATATGTTATTAAGACTTATTTTAAGTACCAAGACCTTAAGGGCAAGTTTGACTACAAGTGCAATTGAACTCCAATTTTAAGGGAAATATTTAGGACGCTAATATCTCGTAAAGCTTTATTATAGCCTTAATAATGAACACAGTTTGCCAAATCATCGTCAGCAAAATTTGACCCAAAATGTTGAGGGTTCCCGCGTTTTTCCCGCCGACGCAGGTTCGCGCACGATTACTGTTTCTCAGCTGGGAAATATAGATTTCGTAGTCGTATTCGTCAAAGAATGTAAAGTTGCCTCATGCAATAAACTCTGTGCGGCCCGATGGTGATTGTGTCAAAGAGGTTTCTACACTTTGATCCTTCTGCAAATCCATAACGTTTTGAACTTGGAAAAAAAAACTTAAAGAGCGATTGACAGCCAAGATAGAAAAAGCATCAGCAGAATTTATTTAACTTCAACAGGAACAGGTAGAATTAAGAAAGATTAAGCTTGTTCGCCAACGTCAAATTTGGTTTACGTGTCCCCTTATTAAAGCAAAATGAAATAGAAACTGAAAGCAGAAAAACAAGATATAAAATACCTTGAATATACTATGTATCCCCGTTTTTTTCTAACTTGAGTAGCCACACCTTGGTTCAAGAAAACTAAACTAAAGAAAACATGCACAGAAATTTTCCCGACCTACCCTATGAGTGATAACCCGTTGAACAATGTCCAGCATCTTTCTTGATTGACTGAACACCAGACACCTGTGGCCCTCAGCCTTGAGATTGTCCAACAGGGACACCAAGAACACCATTTTCCCTGACTCCTGTGTCAGCACCTTGTCTGAGGGCCCCAGGCCTTTTGGTTGAGTGGCAAATGATCTGGAATCGTCTTCATCAGCGTCCATTTCCACCAGTCTGAAATGTAAAGCTTGAGTGTAATTCATAGAGTAAAACAAATTTGACGTTTGCGTAGTGAAGTCGGTGTACAAAGATAGGTAAACATTTTTTAATGCACAAGCTTTCAAAGCCTTTATTACAAGTTAACTTCATTGCGCGCCCACCTCCTGGGAACTGGGAGAAAAAAAAACTGCACTGGGTACTACGCATAACGATATTTTCACAAACATGCATCAGTCTTGTTTCACAAAATGTCTTGCAACATCTATGAAAACAAGCGTCCTTTTGGTAGTTTTGTTTTCTTATGTAACTGTCTGTTGTTGACTGTTACACTCAACTCCTTCTCTACCATTTTATTTTTCAAGTTTTTGTTTTGGGAGAGTGAACGACTTTTACATGAGGCCAGCTCGATTTGCGGAAGCCCTATTTCACTGTACATATAGGGACTTTTTTTAACAGCGGTAATAAGTTACTTTAAAATTGGAGAACAAACCTGGCCTGTTCATCCAAGCCGAGCTGCTCACAAGCCAGAGTAGATAACAGTCGAGGATGATCACAGATCTTCTTCAGCACATTCAACTCAGCCAATGGGGAACGGGTACTCATTAACAGCTAAAAATATAATACCAATACACAATCTCCCTTCATATCGTTTATTCAAAAATAAAAGCAAGCTGTTTGACGAGTTAAACAGTGTATGTAACAGCAGTATCAGCTCGGCAATGTTAGTCATTTTCGTTAACTTTCAAGAAAAAAGTGATCTCTGACCAGTATGACATTTTGCAAAAATTAAATTAAACCTGAAAAATGTTTAATTTTACACGAATGGAAACTATTTCAATTATCTTACTTTTTTCATTCGTTCCGCTTTATGCCAATTTTTCTGTATTTGGTTTACGTTTTTCCGACTTCAGGTCGAGGTCGTTATTGTCAAATTTTTGCTAATTTTATGGATAATTTAGCGCTTAATTGACTAGGTGATGAGAGATTTTTTTACTAGTAATTATCTTACTGAAAAACTTGGCAGATAATTCTTTTAACCATCATATATCTGAAATGCATACCTCTTTCACTCTTTCCAGTCCTAGAAAGTCACTGTAAATTTTGATTTGACTTTCGGACATGTAGAGCCAGACAACAAAGTCGTTTTTCCTGGTTAACTCCTTAGGCATTCTATCAATTAAAGAGAACACAGATAAGGCAATGATCACTCTAAGTGACAGAGTTTATTGCAGAAAGCCTCTCAGAGTAGTTCCCCATGCGGCTGGTGGTGAATTTAAGTACCCTCGTCCCCAGATCCAGGCTCCCAGGCCTAAATAAATAACCTAAGACTAACCCAAAATTAACCCTTACTTGTCATCAGGTGACTGTTGTTGGGTTAGGGGAGGGGTGGGTACGTAGTTGCACAGACGCTTAAATTTATCAGAAATGTAGAGGCATTTATTAGCTCTGTATTGACTGGGGAGACTGCAAACACAAAAATACATGGAGTAAGTAAAACGTAAATTGTTAAAAGGCGCGACCCGGTGATGGGTGGAAAATTCCCTTTATCGCCTTAACCAATCGCCTGAGCCGTCCTTTTGACCATCCATGACGGCTTTGCCATCACTTTCTCATTCACCTATGATTGTATTACCTTCTGATACTTCCTTCTTTATTTTCCTTATCCGATTCCTCTGATCCATCAACTTCATCGGGATTTTTGTTTTTCTTCTCTAGAACCATTGCTTTGGTTCGCCGCAGAAAATATGGCTCAATAAGTTTACGAAGACTTTCTGACATCTCCATCCCCATGCGTTTTTCATACGTTGTAGCATCTCTTTCTCTCGCCTGAAATCAGCGCAATTCAAAAACTTGACATCCTTGCGATTACTGCGTATCAAAAGGATTCACCCCATGAAAATCTACTCATGGCATTTAACAGCTTGAAAACTCTGTAAACTAACCCGCACGATTGGGTCTTCGTATTCTTTCTTAAAGGTTCGTGATGTTCCCAGTAGCTTCCCTTCACATGCAAAGTCAAACAAGGCCCACATTTCCTGTGAATATAATAATAAAACTTTGTGGACTCGTGATTGTTGATTTTTTAAGCTTCTCGCGCGCTGATTGGCTCTTTGTTGCATGAGTATCGCGCGCGCTGCTCGCTCTGTTTCCTTTTTGCTACGTTAGTGTCTCGCGCACTGTTTTTCCTGTGTTTTGTTTAACTGTTTGTTACTACG